TTTTCCTTCTTTTGTATGCAGATGATATCACAATACTCTCAGATACTGCTTCTGGTTTGCAAAAAGGTTTAGATGTTTTGTATGCTTACTGTGAGAGATGGAAAATGAAAGTAAATGTGGGTAAAACTACAACCATGGTGTTTCGTAGGGGAGGAAGGCTAAGTGAAGCTTTACATTTTTTCTTGGTAACCAAGAGATTGTGGTGGTCAGCAAGTATTCGTACTTAGGTGTTGTATTCACAACGGGAGGTGCTTTTTCTGAAACTCAAAAGACATTAGCGGAACAAGGCTCCAAGGCATTATTTCAATTAGAAAAATGGACAAGAAAGTTTGTTGAATTGACTCCAAAGCATATGTGTACTTTATTTGATAAACTTGTCAGTCCCGTTTTATGTTATGGATGTGAAGTGTGGGGTTTTTATACTGCTATAGCTATTGAGAGATTACATCTGAAGTTTTGTAAAAGGTTATTGGGAGTTAAATCAACAACGCAGAATAATTTTGTGTATGGGGAACTCGGTAGAATGCCTTTAAAGTTCTTGAGATATAGTAGAATTATTAAGTACTGGCTAAAAATTGTATGTGGAAATGCAAATAATTTAGTATAATCTGTTTATAGTGTTTTATATGATCAATGTGAGATGCACAATGTTAATAATTGGGCAAGCTTAGTAAAAACCGTGCTTTTTACACATGGTTTCGGTTATGTCTGGAATCTGCAGGCTGTTGGCAGTATAAATATGTTGATGTGTCTGTTTAAAACAAGAGTGAGTGATGTTTTTGTCCAAAACTGGAATGCTGAGCTAGCTGAGGCGTCTCGAGCTAGGTTTAACGTACAATTGGGTGACATTTTTCGAATATAAAGAGTTTCTGGATATCGTAAATGTAAATAAATTTAGAATAGCATTGACAAGGCTAAGAGTATCATCACACCGCCTCAGTGTAGAGGTAGGGCGATGGCATAGACATATTGGTAATACCATACGAGATGAGAAAATGTATATTTTGTGATGTTTTTGAAGACGAGTATCATTTTATCATTGAATGTAATCAGTTTTCTGAGGTAAGGACACAGTTCATTCCAAGAAGATACTATACTAGGGAAAGATTTGTGGATTTAATTACATCATCTAATGTTGCAATTGTAAGAAATCTAGCAATTCATGTTTTCAAGGCAAACGAGATCAGAAATTATATTCTTTTTAATAATTAACTCTGGGCGAGTGGGTATTTATTCTGTACGTGTTTCTGGCAACTTTATCCTAAATTCTGTATTTTTGTTACGCACATACTCAATTCGTTAAATATGTATACATCTAACCACTGTGTAGCATTGGTTAATGACATCGAGAGGTATCTCCCATTGATCACATATGTAACACAACGGTTTTTAGGTACACACTTTTAACATTATACAAACAATATGTACTTTCTCGATTGCTATGAAACACGTGATAATGGATATCTGGTTGCCTAAATATGGGTAGTTTGAAAACAAGTCCTCGGACCTGTCGCTGCATGTATGTGTATTATACCAATTACAAATAAATTTCTTTGTCCATGTTCATGTTCCACTCCACCTGTACCACCTATGTGGATTGTTATTATGTAATGCACAAAGGCACTTTTGCCTATTGCTTAATAAAATAATATCATATATCGCAAAAAATATACAACGGTTTGTACAAATACCCAATGACCTTAGAGTATGATAACACGTGCTGGGTAGGGGATAAAATCCGATATTTCACCTGCAAAAATTTGATAATAAAAAAATATTTAATGGCATTAGACATGCTGACAATTTTGAATCGTTGATTTCATTTAACTGACGTGTCTGACTGACTAGTACCTGCCTACCTGTATTGGCCTTCAGTGAATATAGTGACAAAAGCCAAACCCTCAACTTAATTTAAATACTTTTTAAAAAATGCGCAATGGAAGACAGCCAATAAATGCCCTAGATTTTATCATGTGATAACATTGAATACGCTGGGTGTACCGTTATACGGGTGTGTATATTGAGTTTGTGCAGTGGTTTGTGCAGTACATATCAAATGAATTGAGGTAAACAGTACAATGTCGTCGGAAGGTTGCATGATAGATAGAAAGTGGATTGTGTTAGTTGTGAATTTCCTGAACATGTTTCTATGTGCTGGTTTCCCTTTCAATATGTCAGTATTAAATGTGGAATTCCTACGTGCTTTTGGGAAAGGTAAAGCACAAACTGCGCTAGTCCAATCGGTAACAACTGGTATGATGGATATTGCAGGTAAGAATTGTTACCATCACTTTCATTTAAAAAAATGTATTATTATAAACTGGTCAATTTCAGCGGTAGTGTTTTTTGTGCTTTTTGTTGAAAGAATAAAATAATTCAAAAATGCAATGAAAATGTTCAGTTTAAACCATTAACAGTTGAGCTTTTCAAATGTATAATATTTGTCTGTTAAATGTACATTTCCCAGGGAATATGTGGACTCATGTCATATTATTCAGTTGATAATGCAAGGTGTATGTGAGGACTGGTATACCATCCCTTTGCAGGTTCTAATATGTAAGACGCACATCTGTGATGAGAGGACGTAGAATGGTATAGTGGGACAACGTCAGTGCGTTAAGATATCTTTGGATAACTTTGTGGCAATACATCTATGGACATTTAGCTATTTTATGCCACTCTGTTGGCCTTAGCAACATTAATACTACAGTTTATGACAGTAATTACTTACCAGCTACCTCCCGTTTCGTTATATTTAGGAACTGAATTTTCGATACCCTCCAGCTTTTTTGAAGGGTACATACAGACCCGTACACGTTCGCTGTTCCACTTTCAGCGTACCGTTTTCGTAGTATTTCCGTTCCGTTTGCGTATCACTTGCGTAGCATTTCCATAGCACTTCCCTACTATTATCATAGCACTTGCGTAGCGTTTCCGTAGCTCTTCCGTATCGTTTCCGTAACACTTGCGTTTGGTCGAAAATTTTACGGAATATATATTTGTCGAAACGAATTATTGATAAAAATCATTATAAACCGCATTACGTGAAAATTATTCCAACTATCATAATAGTCTAAAGAAGAAAACACACAAAAATATCAGTTTACACATACATGGACGTAACAGCCCCCCTCCCATGGGCCTACTGTGTGTTCCCCACACCAGCAGCTAAGGTGTAATTTAAATAACAGGCATACAGATGGCCATGTGGTAATGACCTGTCCCTTGTCAAAGGTTAACCAACTTTAGTGACTGCTAAAAAGATTGTTAGGGCAGCATGACCACCCGCTGACAGATACTTTTCTTTCAATATGATATCTATACCTGAGATATTCTCCTTTCTCCCACTTTTTAAAAAACACATAAAGGCAGTAATGTTGTGATAGCAGTTATAGTCTGTTTCATGTATATTTTACCTGTTTTTACCTGTGTTCTCCCACATTATCTGTAACATGTATATATATAGTACTGTCATATACATATATACAGATTGTATATAGTCTATTTTCATCCTTTTTAGCCATATCATATACCATTTTCATCAGCTAGATCATACAAAACTATAACGCGAAATCCACAAATATTTTATATATTTTATATACTTAATAGTATATATTTAGATGCTAATGCTTTGATTAATGTATTTTTCTTAAATTCAAATTTAGATTGATTTAATTTAGGGTGAAGTAAATTCATATTGGAGCATTATTTTCAGAGAATCTTTTTTTAACCAATAAATGCGTCTTCAGTGTAATTATTAATAACTTAGTACCACTAATTTGATTATTTTCCCCTAAAACATAATCATTAGTTTAATTTCTATTTGATAAACCCATATGGATTGGGTCCACTGATATTTCTAGTTGATAATAATGAATCTTAACACCTGACGCCGACACTCACTTCTGTGATGGAACGTTTTACATGTGCCCGACTCAGTTTCAGCAGAGGACATAGATGTACCACAGGACACCACTCCATTTACAGACGATGCTGATGTACCACAGGACACCACTCCATTTACAGACGATGCTGATGTACCACAGGACACCACTCCATTTACAGACGATGCTGATGTACCACAGGACACCACTCCATTTACAGACGATGCTGATGTACCACAGGACACCACTCCATTTACAGACGATGCTGATGTACCACAGGACACCACTCCATTTACAGACGATGCTGATGTACCACAGGACACCACTCCATTTACAGACGATGCTGATGTACCACAGGACACCACTCCATTTACAGACGATGCTGATGTACCACAGGACACCACTCCATTTACAGACGATGCTGATGTACCACAGGACACCACTCCATTTACAGATTACGTTGTAACACAGTGCATAGACCTAAATTAACTTTACTTTAGGTCTGACTGCACAGTGGATTGACCAAGATCAACAGCTCTGGAACCACTTTGAGACCGAGGGACCCAGAACAACCAACCACATAGAGGGATGGCACAGAAAACTGAAGAAGAAAGTGGAACAATCCGCGTCTTTTTATTGACTTTCTAATATTTCACCTTGGTAAGTTAGTGCTATCATATTAGTTTTATATCATGTATCTTTGTGCGTGTGCATTTTATGAATATGATTGATTTGATCAACCAGTGCTGAGTATTCCATGGGTACATGTAATTAATTCGTTTTATTTATTTTCATTCCCAGCTTTGGATCTGTTTTTGCATATTTAATAATGTAATCCGTGATCTCTGTCTTTACTGGTTATATTTGTCATAAATTGCTTGCTAAATTTAGTTCTATTTTATGAAATATATACATAAAATACATGTAAATGTATAGTAAACATGTATCAAATTGATTTATGAAATTAATAAAAGCAGGTTTTCAGTTAATGTATTTTGATGTGTTTTTATTAAGTAATAACTGGAATCTTGTATATATTTATTCATAATTCCAGTAAATATTACGAAAATCAGGAAATATATTTCTTAAATATTCCTATAACTAACACAATATTTCCTATTGGTGAACAGGTAAATACAGGTAAATAATCTACCTGTACTATACCAGAACAGACTATAATGACATCTCTATTATTTTCCAGTGTTTAAATAATTCCTTTAATCAGAAAAAAGTTGGAGAAAGGAGAACAAACCGTGATAATACATTGACCATTCAACTGTGGTCAAATTGGATTCTGACGTGCTGTACAAGGTCACATTCTGAGATTTCAAGGCAATTAATTCCATGTCAATAAATCCAGTTCATTGTCTATCCACCACGTACAGCTGTATAAAGGTAAATCAGTTCGAGGTAAAAACCTACAGGTAAGATACTTTGGTTGTCCCTCGGTCAGGAAATGACAGTCCAAGGCACAATTTCATTTCACATCAGTGCCTTTACCAAGGTAAACTAATATTTTACTTTTTGTCGTCTGCTGGATAACCGAACTACTCGGTAGTGAAGTGGACGAAAAACCTATCAATCAATCAAATATTTTACTTGGAATTCCTAATTTAATGCAAAAGAAATCGTGTCCCTTATTAAGATATTCAACTTCTAACTGAGATGATTTCTTTTAAAACTAATCTACCTTTTTGTTTAATAATCTATCATGAGTTCTGTTATCAGCGAGCAAAGGTTGAATACCAACCTTAATACGTAACAAATTTTTCAATATCAGACTATTGAAAATGATCATATCTTTCAGTAATCATTAAAAGAAAATCATTATGAAGATAACTTTATTGTCATCATTGTCATCATGTGAAATCTTAGAAATCTATTTTGTATCAAGGAGGGTTAAAACTGTGTTCCTGAGAAAAAAGAGTGTGCTCCCTTGTTGTCTATAGCTTCTGTAAAAAAACACCAGGTGTGGGAAAAAATACATGTAATGACCTTGTATATTACGAATAAGGTAGACTTCCAATGTATATTGTTCGGAAAATGATAATATAGAAATACTGAAAAACAGACAATCGTATATTGAAAACATGTTATGACCAGATAATATTAGATAATGATGATTAAATTATAAATAAAAAAATCGGAATTGAATGAGTTAGGATTAGGGTATTTATGGAATAACTGCTATGAAAGTAAGATTGTGTATAAGTTATTCTAACACGATTCGTTTGCAACGCGTGTTTTGATTGGATACGGACCATGTTCTAATCTGCATTAGAATCATGATCAATCGTGTTAAGCTCCTCCCATCGCACTTAAGCCACGCCCCGTTTCAAACCAAAAAAATATGGCGTCAAGCTCACCTCTTAGCGGAATCCCGCTGATAAGGCTAGCAGGCAACAGAACAGAAAGTAAACGACCGATGAAATGTATTTGTTGAATGAATTAAAAAGTAAAAAGTACTCATTCCTTAGTCTTACCTCCATTTATTACTGAAACGTTCATTCCATCCGTGTGAAGGCATATATTTAGATCCCAAATCAAATGAAACATTTCACATGTGTCGTATGCATTTACATAAAACTCTTCACAAATCTATACAAATAATCGCCGATTTTGTCGATAAGCACAGATTAGTATGCATACTGACATGGAAATGTAAGAACTTGGTCAATATCAATCCAAATGTGTCGTATAAACTTCGGTAACAGGACGTTCACGAACAATCCAAATATTCCGCCTCGTCAACATAGGGGGCCTACAGATCGAGCGCTCGGCAGTATGGGCGGGGCCAAATGACCGACTTTTGAAAGCTTCTTTCCGATTGGTCAGTCCGCTGCAGATTGACACGTCGCCAGTTCAGGTCACAAAGTATTTTAATACGTACTTTTGTACAAGGAAATACAATGTTACTAAACATATTAGCGTAGTACATGTATATGTGTTAAGGTGTGTTCGAATGGGGATAGTACGTTGTTGTTCGTGTCTATACTGGCGATTAGAACATGAAATTTGGTTTAAACTCTCGACCTATCGGTCTCGAGTTCAAACCCAAATTTCATGTTCTAATCGCCAGTATAGCCACTCAAAACAACGTACTATCCCCTAAATATAGCACGATTCGTTTGCAACGCGTGTTTTGATTGGATACGGACCATGTTCTAATCTGCGATAGAATCATGGTCAATCGTGTTAAGCTCCTCCAATCGCACTTAAACCACGCCCCGTTTCTAACCAAAACAATATGGCGTCAAGATCGCCTCATAGCGAAATCCCGCTGATAAGGCTAGTAGGCAACAGAACAGAAACGACCGATGAAATGCATTTGTTGAATGAATTAAAAAGTAAAAAGAACGCATTCCTTGTTCTCACCTCCATTTATTA